GGATCATGACCTGAGCCGAAGGCAGTCGCTTAACCAACTGAGCCACCCAGGTGCCCAAGATTCCCCCTTTTTAAAACAACTTGTTACTTTGGAATAATTTTAGATGTAGAAATACGTTCTAAAGATAGTACATAGTTTTTCTGTATTATTCACTCAGCTTTCCCTAATGTTAACATATTATGTAGCCTTGGTATAGTGATCAAAACTAATCAACATAGACTACTAAACTGTGGACTTTATTAGAATTTCACCAATGTTTCCACTAATGTTCTTTTTCCAGGATCCCACATTACACTTATTTGTTATATTTCCTTCGTTTCCTCCAATCATTGACAGTTCCTGATCTTTCCTTATCTTTCATTCACACTTTGGAAGACCACTGGTCAGGTAGACCTTTGTAGAATGTCATTCAATGTGGTTTTCTCTGATGTTTTCTCATGGTTAAAATGAACTTAGAGATTTTGGAAAAGAATGCCAGAGAGGTGATGTGTCCTTCTCAGCATATGATAATCAGGGGTTATGTGATGTCAGCATGTCTCATTCCTGGTGATTTTATTAACCTTTATCACCTGGTTACGGAGGTGTCTGCTAGATTTCTCCACTGTAAAGTTACTGTTTTTCCCTTAATAAATATTTTGGTGAAAATACTTTGAAGTTACACAAATATCCTGTTTCTTTTTAAAAATTTGGCCACTAATTTTAGCATTGATTGGTGGATCTTGCCTGAAGCAGTGATTAGTCTGATGTTTTGATGGTGATTTATTTATCTATTTATCTATTCCATTCCTTATACATTTATTAATTATAATTCTGTAAGAAAAAGTCCTTCCCCACATTCATTTATTTTATTTAATCATTTATTTATATCCATACACACTCACTGATTTTTATTTTATTTTCTGGATTAGGATCAGTACTAGCATTGGTATCTCCCAAAGCCTAGCAAGTACTTATGCCTTTAGTTAGCTTTTTCCAGAATTTCGTATAAATGGACTCTCATAATGTGTAGCCTCTTAGGACCTGTTTCTTTCACTTAATGGAATGCATTTAATATTCATTTATCTATTGTATAAATCACTAGTTTGTTCCTTTTTATTGCCATGTAGCATTCCATTGTAGCATACCAGAGTTTGTTTATCCACTTACCTGTTGAGAGACATCTGGGTTGTTTCCAGCTTTGGGCAATTACGAATAAAGCTATTACATTTACATGAAGGGTTGTTTTTTTGTTTTGTTTTGTTTTTGTTTTTGTATTTTTTGTGTGTGGGTTTTGGTTTTGATTTTGGTTTTGTTTTCACTTGGGTAAATACTTAGGAGTGGGATTATGGACTTTAAGTATATATTCAATTTTCTAAGAAGCTGCCTAACTTTTTTCCAAGTGGCTATACAATTTTGCATTCTTACCACCAGAGTATGAGAGTTCCTATTGCTCTGTATCCTCTTCAACACATTGGTATTATCAGTTTGTTTTTGTCTTTTCTGTTCTAATATATGTGTAGTGGTTTTAATTTGCATTTCTTAAATGACTAATAATGTTAATATGCAATCCATGTTTGTGAATGGGTAGCTGGTCCCTTTTATTTCTCTTGATTTTCTCCTTTTATGATCAACCAGGTGGGTAGAGTCTTCTCCAATATAGTTTTGATTGAATTAGTTGCTATCATCTCTGTTTAGCTATATTTCATAATAAATACACATTTCCATATATGAGTTTTGGCTTTCTCTACTTATTATGGTGGAATGAATATAAGTTTTTATATAGCTGAGTATTTGAATGATAATTTCATTATTGTCTAAAACTAGATTGCTTTATAAGAATCTATTCATAGATTACATCTGTGACTCAATACACTTGTAAGGCAAGGGAAAATGTAAG